TTTTTTTGACACAAGTATCTTGCTTTAAGTGCATTATTATTCCAGTTCAAATTATATTTAACTGCCGTCCCATCGCTTATATTCCAGCGTTCTTCCCGAATCTTTCCGATGGCTGCTGTCAAGACGCCGCACCGAAGAGGCAGAGAAGTTGATCCGATCAGTTTCTATGACAAATATCAACTCCGAGCCTGATTATGAGACTATTAAGTCTGTCATAGAGGACAAAGATGAAGCGGTCACTTCTACTCGGACCTACACCCCTTTAGATATGGTGAGGACATGGAAACGGACGGCTTTAACGATTAATGTGTGTTTTAACTGGTGAGTAGAGAAATAAGTCGAGTTAACACATTATTTTTCTTGAATCAACCTACCATTCAGGGAAGAATATGCACAAGTGGGTTATTAATCAAACCGAACACAGTTTTTATAGTAATATACATGTATGTTTTCACTCCTTCGATATAATAAATAATTGTGAGCCATGAATGAGACAAGAAATGGAAGGTTATATACACCACATTGTGTATAGAAAATAGTCACAAATTCTAAGTAACTAATCTGTGTTGATTTGATGTTACTAATTGTGTCCAAATTTACATTTCAAAGGATGGTCAACAGCATGGTGTATTACGGGCTGTCACTGAACTCTGCGGGCTTGGGCGGTGATCTCTACCTTAACTTTACACTGATGGGAGCCATTGAAATCCCGGCCTACACTCTGGCTGTTTTCCTCATCGACAAAGTTGGCAGAAGAATGTCCCTNGGTCTTTCTACGAGGTGGCTGCAACAGGCGACGTATCCAGCGAGTCCATCCATGGTCTTTCTACGAGGTGGCTGCATCAAGGAAATTGACCAACGAGGCCTGTCATGGACTGTCTGGGAGGGGCTGCATAGGGGAAGCGTCCAGTGAGTCCATCCACGGCCTCTCTACGAGGTAGCTGCAACAGAGGAAGCGTCGGAAGTGTCCAGCGAGGACTGCCATGGTCTGCCTACGAGGTGGCTGTATCAGGTATGCGTCCAATGCATATGGTGTTTCACTGAAATGGAAAACTCTTAAAGGTAACTCGTATTATTGGGGGGAGAATGCAACAGCCCATTTTTACCACAAAAATACGATTTCACTTGGCCATTGAACACACTTGTGGGATAATCCACTTTTAAGTTAGTACATTCATGAAGGGAGATAAAGGAAAAAACTTAAGACTTTTTTTTCTTTTTGCAGAATTCGAGTATGGCAAATTCTAATAGAGCTCCCACTTTTCACAAGAAGTGCAAAAATTGGCTAATTTAATCGTGCTAGTCAATTATTGGTGCCCGGGTGATGATTCCTGCCATAGGCTGTTTATAAGGTGGCTGCCTGTCGGGACACCAGAAACACATGGTGTTTCATTGAAATGAACACTTTCCACGCTGTTAAAGGTAACTCGTGTTATTGGGGGGAAAATAATACACTAGTAATTTTTCTCACGTTGCAGAACTGTACAACAGTTCATTTTTGATCATATCTTAAAATTTTGAAGTCGGATTGATAGAAAAAATGACCATGAAATCGTATTTATATAAAGCTTATTCATGCTAAATAGTTAATGTATATTTTGAGGTTATTGATGTTGATAACATTGTTGTAGTATTATTCCATTTATTACCATGTACTCCAGGTTTCGTCTTATTACAAGTCCAGGAAGCAGACTGCAGTGTGCTGACAAAGGATAGAAAACTCATTAATCTTTTTTTCTTTCTGTTTACAGAACTCGATTATGGCAATTCTCGATAGAGCTCCTGCTGACAAATTCAAGGACAAGAGGGTCCCCTCTGCACTTTCATCAATATTTGGTGCCAGCGAGCAATGACACTAGCAAGGAGTCCCTGTAGCCATTTCCATAGATGATTGTAGCAGTCTTGGTTTTTAAGGACATAGCTTGCCCTACTAATAATTCAGAGAATGTGGAATGGTAATGAAAAGCGATATACTGAATGTAAGAGGAATACTGGTGCAATCTAATAACGTACTCAAGTCTTTTGGATAATAATTTTTGCAGTTCATGAGTCACTTATATGGGTCGGATGTAATTGCATTTAGCAAGTTTTTTTCACTTCTGACAGCGAACCATTTTATTTCAATAGCTTAAGAGAAAACTGAAGTCCAAGATGATCATATTTAATTCAATAAATGATCAATTGAATAAGATGAATTATGGTTCTGTATGAAAATTGAAAGTCTGTCTACAGTTATGATTATTTAAAAAAATTTTAATTGCACACCCAGTTGCTTTATCCACATTCTAAATGCAGAAAGGTTTTTGCTCACAAAAAAACATTGGTATTACAACCACTTATGGTCGTCTGTGTTTTATTTCAATCTTAGTGAGGTAGTCATTTTTCAAATTTGTGCTTTTGATGATATGGAATTGTTAGTCAGTATAGCTTTTGAGAAGATCATAACCCTCACACTAACCATGTCTCACAACTGTGTAAAATCTGACTTGGTGTAAATGCTTTTACATGAAGAGGTTTTACATTGATAGCTTGTGCAAAATCTGCAATGAAATATTTAACGTTTGAGAAAATATTTCATATTGTTTTGCACAGTCTGCTCCTCGTGAGGGATGGCTGGGTGCACACGGTCATCTCTCAACATTGAGGATCGCACATTACTAATATTATGATTTTCTCAAGTGTTATAGTTGACAAACATATCCAATTCATCACATTTGCACATTTTTCTCCGGCTAATAAATTTGTATTGAAATTTACATGGACGGTCATACAGTGGAATGTGATATCTGAAATATTTAGAAGTAAGATTGCTTTATTCTTTACTTGTATCATACAGGTAGTTGCTATTTTAGGTCAGAATTGCATTAAAAACTTCCTCATTTAAAACGGTTATGTATCAACTTAAGTTTAAATCATAAAGGTACCTGGGTAATAACCTTATTACCTGAATATTTTATGAATTTTATCAGTAGAAAGAACTGTAATCAAATTTGAAAGGATCTTCCAGTTGTAAAAGGATTTAGTAATTTTATGTATGGTGTCATTCCCTTAGATAAAATGTCTAAATTTCATTGTGTTAAGTAATTGTCTTAATTGGCTTCAATACCTCTTTACTTAGGAATTATTTTGATAAATTCTTGTGCTTCATCTGGTGTATAATTATGTAGAGAATAGTTTGTAGTTTGGAGAAAGTTTCTTCAGTCACACCATACTGTATAAAACTGGACAATATTCTTAAACCATAAGCTGCCGTGCCAATAAAGAAACTGATGTTATCATGTTATAAAGACTGAAGTATCCGGGCGTGGGCACTTTCCCGGCATTCCCCACGAAGGGTTTAGACGGGTTTTTACCCACGGCCCCAGAGCATCGGGTGCCAGCTTCCGACCACAAGACCAGCATTATCGAACTGTATAAATTCTGTTGTTAAATGATAAAAACAGGAATGGAAAATCTTAAATTTCAATAATACTACCATTTATTTATTCATTGCGTTTACATGATTAAATGATTACTATAGTAATTTTGAAATTGAATGTTACTTTATTTGATAGTTGAATAAAAATTATATTCTGTAATTTCTCTTTTTGTTAAAAAAAACGGAAGGCGTGTACAGATGCGGAAATAGACACCATACTTCGAATAAATTTTAATCAGTGGCGGATTAAGGTCGGGTGTCAGGGGGTCCTGACCACCTTTTCGATTTCTGAAGAAAATCGCACCAATGGTCCCCGTTTGAAATTAGAATTTTAATTATAGTTCTAAATCGTACCAAATGGCATCGTTCGCCCTCTAAAATACCAGAATTTTCATGGACCTTAATATAAGTGGGCTCGACCCCACACCAAGGGAAGTAGGCTCGGCTTCGCATCCGCGGACCCCCCACGCCCTTCAAATAATCCTGGATCTGCCCATGTTAATGGAGTGGCATACATGCTCGTTTCATTATCAGTCGTAATTCTCTTATTTTCAATTACCCTTCATCTCGTTTAAAGTAAGATTTCGCGATTTCTGGCACGCCGATATTTTCCATAAAACCAGGCAATGTCCAGGAAATGAATTGATTTTTGGTTTTGGAACAAACCCGCTTTTTTTCTCTGGGAATAACTCGAGCCGATACCAAGAATTTCCTGAGTCGGATTAGCCCCTGAAACTATCTTACACAAATAAATACCGCTGTAGATGTGAGACCCCAATGTTTTTGATAAATAATGTTTTAGGTAAATATACATTACTATCCGCATAATTAGTATTACTTGGGTGTCAGAAGTCGAGATATTTATATGATTCCTGTTAATTAATTGTAGCATTGATTCGAGAACGCATACGTTTGTAAGAAAAAATAATGAATATATATATACAGAAGTCGACGAGATACCAACCAGTCTTCTTATGTGGAATAGTTCATTGATAAAATTCGAAAGGAAACTAAAGATGACGAAGGCAATACCGATACACAGAGGTCACTTAGTAGGTGAGTTAACAATACACTTTTCCATCCTAAATTTAGGATCTGCGTTGTGAGACAAAAAAAATTGAAACGCTATTTTCCGCCCTCTATATTTGATTTCTTCGTTCAAGTGGTATAGTAGCACGCGTGAAATATCATGGCGGGATAGTGCATTCAGTCATCTACTTCTTGACTTAACTTTTATAACTAGCGCACACTCAATAACTTTGTTCAAGGGTCTTAGTTCTGAATTATATGCAATGCACTAAACGCATAAGAGCCTTGAATAACACGTTACACTGAGCATGACAAGTCAGCAATAAACGATAACGAAGTTGCTTTGCTTGTGCTCAAGATCGTAAAACAAAAGATAAAGCATATCTTTTCGTATTAGAAATGCTGTTAAGGTCACCTCTTTTAGAAACCAGCGCAAACGGGGGTTTGAAGCTAATGTATTAAATCGAATTTCTGCCATATACGGAAAAAGAGGATGCATTTGGACGAGCTTTTACATATTATTGGAGAATTTGGTACTTTTCAGAAAAGGCAGTATTTTTTAGTCTGTCTTGTAGGACTGTATACAGCGTTCCCGATACTTTCTTCCGTATTCCTTGCAGCAACGCCCAAACACAACTGTAAAATCCCAGCCGAGTACGTATCGAGCGCGGAGAGGGTCTACGGAAACCTTTCTCGCGAGGAGCTGCTGAACCTGACCATCCCATGGGAAGAAAAGGACGGCAAACAGGGCCGAAGTAGCTGTAAGCTGAAATCATGGGACAGAAACGGCTCCTATTATGAGGTCCCCATTGCTGCGGATGATGGTGATAACAAGACAGCAAGTGTTGAATGCCCTAGCGGGCGAGAATACAGTCAGGAAATTTATATTTCAACCGCGGTATCAGAGGTAATGACGCAGCTTTACTTTTGTCTTAATTTATACATGTATCACCATGGGCTTGTTGCACATAACAGGCTGAGACGAGAAGTCAAGTAGTCAAGATAATGGTCAAGGTAGTTTTCCAAAGAACCTGAAGGATCACTTGCCTCGTATTTTCGAGCTCTTAGATTAAATTCTTAATCCAAATGTTTTTTAGATGTTTCTCCAAAAATTGACAGTTACCTATTTCAGAATACCAAATTCGTTATCCCTGCACTTTAGGGACAATTAGAGTTAGGAAGCTGAAAACTGATGTGCATGGGCATTTCGAAAAATTAGTGTAACAGGGTGATGGGCTGTTCCTGGGGGTGGTTGATTCATTGTAATTTCCGCTATCTCCTCCTATACCATTAGAGTTTAGAAGTTTAAACTTTTGATATTGTTAGACCTGTCATCAGGGATGTGAAAGGCCCATTCATTATTTATGTACGCTTCGGGGTTGGGCTGTCCCTAGGGGTTAGGGGGTTTGAGAGATTCTTTTTTTTTTACATTAAGCATTCTTTCATCAACATTTTTATGCATCAATAACATTTTACTTTGAATATAATTTGCAAAAACAAATTTACAAATAGGACCCAGGCATTGCCATAGATATCAAGGGAATGGGGTCTTTGAGGGCGAGTTACGATTAACAGTTTGGGCAAGGATGGGGCTACCCATCGACACCATCTAGTTTATTGTGAGAGAAACATCTGAAAATGAGCCAAGACTGATATAAGATTAACAGCTTTAGGCCTACGCAGCCATCATGTGAGATTAGTATTCTGTGACGAACCTAAAAAATTAAGTCATTTTGTGAGACGGGCTTTTTAAACCTAACAATCGTTTTGGTTTGGCTTAGACTGCTAAAATGGAATAACCGGCTATAAACATTCGACTTAGTAAATAAAATCAGTTTTAATTAAGACAATCATAACCTGGCATTGCGACTTACTTTCAAGGCAACAAATACATTTGCGTATGCTTGCTATTCACATTACTCAACGTGTTGGTAAATTCTGCTAAAACCAATTTGTTCAGTTTGACCTAGGCTGTGGCCGAGAATGGCTGGTCAGCACAAGTCAGTCCGTATTCTTTGCTGGGAAACTGGTGGGGGATGCTTTATCCGGGATCATTAGTGATAGGTAAGCCTATACGAATGCCTAGGTCTGAGTACTGCAAAAACATAAATACATGTACGTCGGTGATATATTATTGAAGACCCAAAATGAACGCAATGAATGTACTGCCTGGTAAGACATTATCAACGTCTTCGTATTCCAGAATCTGAACCCACCCTCCATATAAAATCTTAGCAAACATATGGACCAATTAAATCCGGCTATAAAACAGCAATAAACGACATAAAGTAGGCCGTGACCCTATCCATGTGTTGTCTTCCTCCGATATGATGTCCTGTACCAATTCTTCGCTCTAGGTTCCTGACACACAGCGGTGCAATTACAGTCAATTCTGCCTGCTTCTCCAAAATATATTTGAAAAAAGAAAAACATGTACTTTTGGACTACATAGTATGTCATACTTTTAAGAGGGAGTCGCTAACTAATTTGTAGGTGGACACTTTCTTCCGTTTATTAGCTATCAGGGCTAAATGACGAAGTCTACAAGAGCCAAAATGTCCATCAGCGTATTTGGAATTGCACTTGCAATAGTTTACATATGCATTACTTACACGTTTTATAAATGCCAAATCCTAAGGCAAATTTTACACTGAAACATTAATACTTAATTTTAAAAACACCATAACAAATGCCAAATAAATTCTATTTAATATAATAAAATAATAATAATACGTTTGTATATATTCATTATTTAAATTATTTTTTTCTATAAATCGTATCTCCTCATTTACAATTCTTAAAATGATTTGATTTCCACGAAATATTAAGCTATTTAACGTTTTATCAGACTTCAAAGCACCGTTGTAAATGAAATCTACCCTGCATGTTGTATAAATGATGTTTCTTTGTGAAGCATACCTATTATTAAGGCACCAATATTCACCACGTGCTTATATAAAGCAGTTCAATTTTTTCTTTGTGCTTATTGAGATAGTGAATGTCGCAATTTATGATAATTCATAATAATTTCAGGTTCGGAAGACGGCCAACATTTCTGGTGGCGATCATGCTGTCGGTTTCTTTTGGGATTCTTACCGCCCTGTCTCCTAATATGATAGTATTTATAGTGTCTCTTGGTCTGCAGGGATTGGTTAACGGGTGTTTATTCCTGACTGTATTCACATTAGGTAGGATACCAACAGAAAAGGAGGCAGCAAGAGAGAGAGAGGTCTTGTGTATTCCATTAATCGTCTGTCATTTATATTGCCTGAGCTATATAAACAACAGTGTAAATTTTGGGTAATGTCCAGGGCCCAGTTTTATAAAGGACGTTTAGCACTAACCAGTGGATAAGCCTAACTAGTGGATAAATTCTCCTAACACCTATTAACTAAAAGATGGTTAAATTGTGTTTCATATACAGTCTTCTGACAGAAAACAACCAATTAGTTAACTGGCCAGTGTTTAACTGGATTAAATAACTATTTAAAGGTCAGTTAACTAATGCTTTTGTTAAGGTCTGGTTAGAGTTAAACACTGGTTAGTGCTAAATGTCCTTTATAAAACTGGGCCCAGGTCTGTTGATATACATGTATTTTGGTCGCTATGCACTACTGACTGGGTACATTACAGCATTAAACAGAAAGTGAGAGAGAGAATATTTGCTCACGACCGGTGCCTAGTCATACATGCATGAGTACCGTAGGCGCTCTTTAGACGCATTTCTGAATAACTCGATAAAAAACTGTACTTGGTGGGTACATCAAATATTAATTTTAGGTTTCAGTTGAAGTCTAATGTACATAGTTTACCGTTGTATTTAATCCAAAGCATAGAGTTCACATGCTTTTTGGTACAAAATCTTTCCCCGTTGTTCTGATCACGCAAAGGTGGAATTTAGAATATGTGCACCATTAAGTCTGAACTCCTTCGAAATACTTCCATAACGCTTGTTGTTTATTCAGTCGCTTTCGCTCACCGAATATTCTATTGTTCTCATTTATCAGGAGTTGAATTTGTAGGCCCAAGCAAGCGCAATTTGGCAGGATTTGGTGTTATGTACTTTTTTAGCTTTGGTTACTGCTACATCGTACTGATTGCCTACTTCATAAGAAATTGGAGACACTTTGCTCTAGCGCTGTACGTGCCTGCATACCTGTTTGGAGTGTATTACTTGTAAGTAAATTATTTTTAGCTATTAAAATGTACCTTAACTCTGTTATCTTATGCTAGGAATCATCTATCACCTTCCATGCATCCGCAGTAGTTGCTGATATTCACAGATTATTGTGCAATATATTTTTTTTAAATATTATAAAAATAAATTCTATTTCACAGCCCATATAATTTTAAACAAAAGTGCCTCTGGTTAAAACCACTTGCTTCCCTCTGATATCTTGTTCCCACTTACTTAATTAAAAAGTTAATTTGACTACCATCTGAATTACTAATAGCATTCTCACCAGCTTTAATAAAAGAGATACTGCGATGCCCTGTCTTACTAGTACATGTTTTAATGTTAAAACGCGTTGAAGCACAAATTAATTGAAAAATGCAACCCTTACATAAAGATGTAACGTTTTGTCTATGAAACAAGGTTAATGTGAATTCGATAGTGCCAATGATGTAACACTTTTGTATTCTTTGTATTTGTATTTTTTAAGGAACGGTTAACTGCACCCCTTTCCGTTCTAATTTCCAGCATTCTTCCCGAATCTTTCCGATGGCTGCTGTCAAGGCGCCGCATCGAAGAAGCAGAGAAATTGATCCGATCAGTTTCTATGACAAACATCAACTCTGAGCCTAATGATGAGACCATAAAGTCTGTCATAGAGGACAAGGATGAGGCAGTCATCTCTGCTCGTACCTACACCCCTTTAGACCTCGTGAGAACGTGGAAACGGACCGCACTGACGGCAAACGTGTGCTTCAACTGGTGAGCTAAAATTTGAGGTGGTCAAATTTATATGATTTAATGGCCGTTTCAGTGGTGTAGCCTTTATTTTAATTTATATTTTTTGATTAGGTTAGTAAACGGCATGGTGTATTACGGTTTGGCACTAAACTCCGAAGGATTGGGAGGTGATCTCTACCTAAACTTTACACTGATGGGGGCCATTGAAATTCCAGCCTACACTCTGGCTGTTTTCCTCATCGACAAAATTGGCAGAAGAAAATCATTGACAGGATTTATGGTGCTTGGAGGGGTGGCTTGCATTGTTTCTGGTAGCCTGTCTCCAGGTAAAGTTTAAAAATATTATAGGAATAACGAATTCCGTGTATAATCATTTCTTGGGGATAGGCCCTTTACATAATACCGGTACAGCTAAGTTTCAAATAAGAAAATAACTTATTTTTATATATCCTAGGTTACAGGAACCCGCATTTAAGCGTAATTTAAGCTTGATATGATTAGTCTTTTAGGGCATCGTTATTTAAGAGTTTAAAGATATGCCGAAGGACAATGGAAGGCAAGTTACAATGCATAATTCTCATTTTTCAATTCTTGGCGATTTAAGCTCTGAATTGCTGGGCAGCTCTGTGTGTCATGTGACGACGCATATTCAATGGCTTTTTTTTTAAGAAAAGAAACACAATATAATACTTCTGAGCCCAGTGACGTTGCCGCACCAGTGTCCAGGTGATACAATGCTCACAAAGAACTGATCACTTTCAAGACATTTGTTCACTGTTCTACACTTTGTTTTATTTTAGATTTACATTGGTTAATAGTAACGTTGGCAGTCCTTGGTAAGATGGGAATCTCCGCTTCTTTTACGATAATCTATGTGGTGACAGCGGAGGTTTACCCAACTGTAATGAGGTAAGCCTTCCTGAACCAGTAATACAATTGTCTCTGGTTTTATATAGAAGAACAAACCATTATAGTGACGAATTTTGTAAACAAAATTCACGAAAGCTTGTTGCTTATTTTTCTCGAGTCCCAGTGAATGCTTGACTTTTCCAGAATCATAGCTCTGGGGTTGGCCTCTACTTTTGCCAGAGTTGGCAGCGCCTTGGCACCCCAGGTTGTTTTACTGAAGGAACCAATTGCTGCACTGCCTTTTATCATCCTTGGATCAGAATCAATCATCGCTGGACTGCTGTCACTTCTGTTACCTGAGACTGTGCGCAGAGATCTCCCGCAGAACCTAGAAGAATTTGACACCATGTTGGCATCTCCTAGGTGAGCGTATACCAATGGACCTATCGAGCAGATAAAAAAGCCTAAACAGTACAAGTTTATCAATATTCATAAACCATAGTCGTGGTAGCTGGCAACTTTGAACCTTACCGTGCGTAAAATTATATTTCATTCCTTAACGATTACAGAGTCTATGAAGAAACCGAATCTAAAGGGGAAACAGGAGATGATGAAAAGGAAATTGAGAAAATCAAAGATCAATCTAACGACAACAAAGGAACGGTAGAGCTTCACACGAGACTCTAAGACTGGGCTGCCATGCCTAGAATGATCCATCTGGATCGGTCTAACTCCCTGCGGAGTCTCACTTAATTGCTATCAACTAACCGACTTAAATGTCTGTCACGCCCACCGAATCAGTTAGGGGGTAAAGATAATCACCCTCTAACAGCTTTACTAGGCGTGACAGACGTTTAAGCCGGTTAAGTTGTTAGCAATAAAGTGAGACTCCCCAGGGAGATAGATCGATCCAAATATCTGTGGGAATGGTCCCTAACTATCATGTTTGATCAAAATTGATCAGGTCCTAAACAGACGTTACATTAACAGTGCTGTGACAATCATATTTAGCTCAATATCTTAAANGAATCAGTTAGGGGGTAAAGATAATCACCCTCTAACAGCTTTACTAGGCGTGACAGACGTTTAAGCCGGTTAAGTTGTTAGCAATAAAGTGAGACTCCCCAGGGAGATAGATCGATCCAAATATCTGTGGGAATGGTCCCTAACTATCATGTTTGATCAAAATTGATCAGGTCCTAAACAGACGTTACATTAACAGTGCTGTGACAATCATATTTAGCTCAATATCTTAAAGGGATAATAACTCTTCGTATGAGATCTATATTTCATAATAAAAACATTGTGAATAACTCATAGAAATATAATATATTCTGTTTTACCACACAAACAGCAGTTATAGCTTTTATTCTGATATTTGAACTTGTCTTTAGACCACGTGACCTCCATTGATGTCTATACTCTGTTAAAATCTCTTAAGAGATTTTAACAAAAAACCAAACTTTTAAGAAAAAAACCAGGGACTAACTTTGAATGTAAAAATGGATTCATTAACCATTGGTAAGTATGGGAAAATTGTTGTTTACTCCAGGAAAATTCATTTTTTTGGCCGAAACGAAGAGTTATTATTGCTTTAAATAACAAGAAAATGCTCGTTAAGTAAAGAACCTACACCCAGCTTTACTGTACGTTAGACACATATGCAAATGACTCCCATGGCTATGTTTAGGCAATTTTCATATAATATCTTACCCTATTACTTCTTGAATAATTCATTAAGAGAGAGCACGCATAGGTAATTAATTGTGATTTTCAATTCTGTGACGTTTAGAGTATACTGTCAATTACTTAGGGAGGATAATTAGATTCAAATTTGGGTAAGAGCATCATCCATATTCTCACAAAAAAATACAAAAATCCATGTATGAGGTGCATGTCCAATATATACATTAAATAATCAATTGCTTATCGGTGTGACAGGATGATAGTCCTAGAAATGAAAGTCCGGGTCCCCATATGATTAGTACAGGTTATGGTTAGTCGGGGTAATTGGGGTTAGTATAAGTACAGGTATGTGGGACGAGTATCTCCTGTGCAAAGTGTTGGGGACAGACTACAGTTCCTAGCGGACAACCATTCCTGTCACACTGGAGTAATAAAATACTATTAGACCTACATAGATTGTTTCCACGGGTGTGGTAGATTTGGCTGACGGCACAGCTAACACAGTGGGCGAGAATTAATACAGCTCTGTATCTCCAGAGCGTGATTTAAAACAGAACCTATTTGCACATTTGTACTAATGCAGCTTTAAGTTCGCTAATTCTGAAGTGCATGTACATTGATTGCTAACTCTGAAATGTGTGATCACAATTTGCACCGAGCATCACTTTTATGGTTTAAGATACGGCTGCCTCCGTTATAAAACTTCACATTTAGGTTTTATCCAGGAATTTGCAGGTAACAAAAAATATGGAGTAATCAATTTTCTGACACTTTATTAACTTGTAAAATATTGATGATAAGGTAATAATTTTCATTAAAAAAATAATGAATAAACGCACTGTTGACAGACAGACACGGTACAGATACATTTTATCGATATCGAACGATTCTATTTGTACCAATATTTGAAACTGACAAATAATAACAGTTAGGAAATGGCCTTGTGGTCCGGCAGATGGACATACGACAACACTTATATGCGATATCTAGGTAGTTCGCTTTTGTGCTGGTTGCAAAGTAGTTGCCCTTGCGACGACAGAGATGTATTAAAAAATCCTCTGTTTACTTTCGAAGTCCCTTCAGGCAGCATTATTCAGCTTACCTCACCTATTTTTATTCACAACAAAGTTATTTGTGTGTCATACTTTATGCATAAAAGCAAAAAGGTCATTCAGCAGGTCAAAGTGCACAAAAGCCTAAAGCAGCAAACACAGCATAAGACGTGAGTGGGGAGAGAAGACAGTGCCAAGCATAGATCATGACGGGAGATTGACCAGGCAACGTGCACTACCAGGTTTTCGGGGATGACGCTGTTGTTCATTGGATGCCTAACTTTTCCACCTAAACCGTTTTAGCCAATCTTCTCGCGTGCAAAGCATTATTAAGCCCCCCGTTTTTCGACACATATTTGTTAAAAAGATTACAGGTATAGTATTTAATTGAAGTACATATAGCCTTAATACCGAAGTCTTACATACCGAAGTCTTACATGATGCATTTGGACGAGCTTTTACAGATTATCGGAGAATTTGGGACTTTTCAGAAAAGGCAGTATTTTCTGGTATGTCTCGTAGGACTGTATACTGCGTTACCAATACTTTGTTCGGTGTTCCTCGCAGCAACGCCCAAACACAACTGTAAAATCCCAGCCGAATACGTATCGAGCGCTGAGAGGGTCTACGGAAACCTTTCTCACGAGGAGCTGCTGAACCTGACCATCCCATGGGAAGAAAAAGACGGCGAACTGACCAGAAGCAGTTGTAAGCTGAAATCATGGGACAGAAATGCCTCCATTGTGGACATTGGTAATAATACAGCAAGTGTCAAATGTCCTCAGGGACTGGACTACAGTCAAGAAATCTATACTTCTACGGTGATGTCGGAGGTAGGAATGCTGCTAATGGCAATTTTATAACACTTGTCACCTGTAACTCGTGTGCAATGGCATAATAAAATACTGTCAATATCCCAAAAGGGTACCATAGGAACACGCTGTATAAAGTCAGTCCGTGCTTCTTGCTTCTATACCCCCCCCCCCCTCTCTCTCTCTCTTTGTAATTATATTTCTTATTTTCCCCAGTTTGACCTGAGCTGTGGCAACGAATGGCTGGTGAGCACAAGTCAGTCCGTATTCTTTGTCGGGAAACTGGTGGGGGACGCTTTATCCGGGATAATAAGTGATCGGTAAGTGTAAAAATGAGTCTATTAAGTTATGTTTTATATAATTAAGTAAGTATAAATGCCTGTAGATATTTGGTTTTCTTTTGGGTTTTTTATGTTTTTTGTTTTTAATTCTGACGTTTCAGAGGGAATGAACAGTTTTTTTCAATCTGAATATTTCAATACATAGAATATTTGGTCATCAGATGAACTGAAAAACGTATCCTAACAGCCTGTTGTTAAGTTACATGTGAGAAGATCCACCTTTAGATAAACACAAACAACGATTAATTCAAATGAAAGGCTATAGATTCTATTTTAAACAGTAAAACAATCTAAAACTTGATCAGATATTTGTCTTACCTCGATCTGTTGTCGTATATCTATTTCATTCCATCCATTCATTTATTTATGCTAGCTGATGCCGTCATCTCAATCAATGAACCATGATATGAGATTAGTATACACGATTTATAGAAGCTCTTTATATACTATACTGTATTATGTGTAAAAGTCTCATTTTCCACACCTGCCCTGAGTCAAAGATTTTGTGACTTTAAGAAAAAAGAAAAGAAAAAAACGGATACTCGTTTTATTTCCTGTTATCTGTCAAAATTAAAGATTCCACAATCAAAGGACAAGGGCGTTCTTTGTAGTGTAAAACCAACATTCTAAAGCCCATACCCTCTTGCCACCATTCAGTGCCCTTGACCATGATAAATTAGTACAATGTCTTTTTTGACACATCAGCTTTTTATATATGCAAAGACACGCTATGCATCCAGTGAAGAACTTGGTACAATGTACCACTGATCTCTCCTGTGGTAGAAGAGAAACTGAAGGGAGACCTATTGAGTTTACAAAGCCCTCATGTGAGGGACTCAAAATGCAATATATATTTCAATATAAGATTTGAACCCCTACCCACCGTCTCACCCACGCTTCTTGGTCCACTATGAAGTCTGTTTGTGTTCTAGCTACCCCTACCCTTATAACATTATCTTTCACATTCCCATTAATAGGTGACAGTCAATTAACAGTACATCTCATTAACAGTGTCCCTCTGTCCTTTTGGGTATTTTTTGTTTGTTTATTTGTTTGTTTGAAATTATCCAGATAACATAACTGCTGATTTCAGGTTCGGGAGACGACCCACGTTTTTGGTTGCAATTATTCTCTCGGCATCTGTGGGGATCCTCACCGCCCTTTCTCCCAATATGATAGTATACATAGTGTCTCAAGGTTTACAGGGATCACTCAGCGGCTGTATATTCCTGACCACATTCACTTTAGGTAGGAAACTAACTGAAAAATAAATGAACTTGAAATAAATGTTCATATACTGTATATAAGAGAAGTGTATTGAGGTCCATTATGTGTACATTTTGATTTAGTATATGCGTGCGCTACTGAGATGTATGAGCCAACTTAATATGCCCAGTATTTAGCTCTTTTATTCATATGTTGTAAAGCAAAGATGTCGTCTTTGTCACAGTGTAGAATGACGAATGCCTTTTATTTGTTTCTTTGCAGCCGCTGGGTCCATATGACAATTAGTTTAGCGCTACTTTAAATATAAGGATTATGTTCACAGTAAACTATGGAGAAGTCCAAACACGCTATTCATGACTTGACCATGCATAAGCTGAACTGAAAATATTCGTAGCTTGATATTTTTAAAAATTCCCTCTAATAATTAATTTCGTCATTTTGTTTTATCTCTTCAACGCTTATTAAACACTCGGCCGATTTCTGTTTTGCAGGAGTTGAATTCGTGGGCCCAAGCAAACGCAATTTTGCTGGTTTTGGGGTAATGTATTTCTTCAGCATCGGTTACTTCTATATCGTACTGTTTGCCTACTTCATAAGAAACTGGAGACACCTTGCTCTAGTGCTGTACGTGCCTGCATACCTGTTTGGACTGTATTATTTGTAAGTAAGGATTCACCTTCTCTTAACTTTGTAATGATATACAAGACAGAATACTGCGATGCATCAATCGTCATTGTTATGTATTTTGCAGACACCAGTCTTGGAAATTTGTGGTAAGAATTTAATTTAAAAAAAAAAACAAAATATCATGGTTTAATAAATATTTTAGCTTCAAGTCACTTCGTAGTTGGGCCATGGTCATTAACTGCACAGTTGCATTAACACAGGCATTGTTGATGTAATGAAGCAAAGAAAGTAAAATCTCCATTTTTATGCAAAAATCAGGGCAGTAAAGTTTGAGGTTAAAGCGACCGACAGCGTTTTTTATTCACACCAAATTATATGAAATTTCAAATCACCACAAACTACACTTCCGTTGCTTTAAATTTCAGCATTCTTCCCGAATCTTTCCGATGGCTGTTGTCAAGACGCCGCACCGAAGAAGCAGAGAAATTGATCCGATCAGTTTCTATGACAAATATCAACTCTGAGCCTGATGATGAGACCATTAAGTCTGTGATAGAGGACAAAGAAGAGACGAGTGTCTCCTCTCGAACATATACCCCTATAGACATGGTGCGGACTTGGAAACGAGCCGCACTGACGGCAAATGTGTGCTTCAACTGGTGAGACAAAATTCTAGTTACCTCTTCTTTTGTAACGCCACTGTTTGTATTTTTTTAATTTGCATTTATTAAAATAAGATCTCCATTTGATATGGAAATAGGGCATGAGGGATTTAGAAGAGATTTACCACTTTTATGGAAATGATATTGTACTTACTGGTAAAAGTGCATGACCTCCTGTTTATTGAATAACCTGTCTTTAGAGATGGACGGGTTTGATGCTTGTATACGACACTAAGACATGAAAGAGGTGGGTAGACCTAGATTTACGTATACGTGCTGCAGATTTGCCTGATAGAGATCCCATCCTTCCGTCGACATTTTGTAATTTAAAGGATATAGATTGTTGAATTTTCAACTGAATGTATCAGTCAGACTTATTATACCAGTTACCTCTGTACGAGGTATGGTACATTAGAGATACTACATCTTGAGTTTTGATTAATTTAAAGATATCTGAAACCGTATATCAGCCATATATGGTATCTTTCTTTCGGGTATTGTTCTGACAGCCAAATCAATAGAAAGAACAGAGGTATTTTAGTTTAAGGTCAACAGAGAAAGTACACTGTAACCAAAATTCTGGTGGCAACAAAGCAACTCATTAGCTTATAAAATGATAACCCGCCTTTTTAATTTTAACTTTGCAATCACGTGGGCACCATAGTTTCTACAGGTTCAAATTGGGTCGGTAAGAGCGGAAACAGCAATGAAACTGTACTTTGAAAAATTCAGATTTAGGATATTGTTAACCTTCGCCCAAAACGCCTTATTTAGTACCTTACATGCATTTTTTTTTTTT